TCTTTCCCTCTCTCTCTTTCCTTTTCTCCCTATTTCTCCCTCTCTTTCTCCCTCTCTCTCTCTCTTTCCCTCTCTCTCTTTCCTTTTCTCCCTATTTCTCCCTCTCTTTCTCCCTCTCTCTCTCTCTCTTTCCTTTTCTCCCTATTTCTCCCTCTCTCTCTTTTTCCTTTTCTCCCTATTTCTCCCTCTCTCTCTCTCTCTTTCCTTTTCTCCCTATTTCTCCCTCCCTCTCTCCCTCTCTCTCTCTCTTTTTCCCTCTCTCTCTCTCTGTCTCTCCCTCTCTCTAGATTGAAGAATTCGAAACGATTCGACCGCGATTCATCGGCGTTAAAATTCATCAGTGCGACGTAAATCAATCACAGTCTTCGCGGAAATTTCATGAACGTCACGTCGATGATCACGAGTGATTAAGGGTCACGTTCCTGTAATTTCGCTGGAAAATTCGCGATCAATCTCGTCGCAGTCACGTGTAGAACGATGTAATTTCTGCACGGTTGTGAACGTCTATAGAAATCGTCCATCAAACTGCTTGTCTGATCATGTAGATGCTCATAGTATTTGCCCGAGCATAATATGTAAATTTCGGAACTATTATATATGTCGTCCTGTACAAACGGTGCTATCACTTCGTCAATCAAATAATTAATTCTTCCATCATACCGTCCAGGTATTCCAAAATTAAATGATTCTCACTGTAACTGATACAGTGAACATTTTTATTTTATTTTAAACGTATCGTGTATTGAATATATTTTTAACATTGATGTTCCATTTTCCATTATCATTTGATATGAAACGAAAAATGAGACAGTAAAGTGAAAACGATGATTAATTTTCTGTGGAAAATTAATGATATGAGATGTTATTTTTTATAAATTCTAATCATTTGTTTTTAATTACTGTGTTTCTTTCTGTTACTTGATATGATTTTCTACGATTTATATCGCGTTTTTATGAAACTATATGATTTTCCGTAAATTTTGGTAAATTTTCTTATGACTCACGTTAATTTCCGGTGACTCGTGCTGATTTTCCACGATTCATATATAGTGTGGATTTTCCTCTGAATCAAATTAATTATCTATAATTCGTGCTTCTTTTCTATGCCTGACAATTTTTTTCCAGGATTTTCCATGTTTACTCGATAAAATTTTCCATGATTTTTCAATGATCCAATTTCATTTCTTACGATTTATAATGCTTTTCCATAACTCAATATTATTTTCCGTGAACTGTAATCAATTTTCCTATGATTCAAATTGATTTTCTGTTATTTTTGTGCTTCTTTTCCATAAATCAATATGAAGCCTAGTCCATTTTTCCATGACTCAAATTTATTTCCTTTGATTCGTTCTGTATTTCCACAATTGAAGGTTATTTTCTTTTTAAACTACAGTTCATTTTCCGATGGCTCAATTTGATTTCACACCATTCATAATGCTTTTCCATAACTCAATATTATTTTCCGTGAACTATAATCAATTTTCCTATGATTCAAATTGATTTTCTGTTATTTGTGCTTCTTTTCCATAAATCAATATGAAGCCTAGGCCATATTTCCATGACTCAAATTTATTTCCTATGATTCGTTCTGTATTTCCACTATTGAATATTGTTTTCTTTTTAAACTACAGTTCATTTTCCGATGGCTCAATTTGATTTCACACGATTCATAATGCTTTTCCGTAACTCAATATTATTTTCCATGACTCAAATTGATTTCCCATGACTCGTGATGTTTTCCCATGACTCAAACTTGTGAAGAAGCATAAAGAACCACATATTACTTAACGAAAATCTTCCAATAAAAATCAAACCCTTTGAAGTTACTATTAAAAAACAAAAAAATGACTGCCATCCAACGCACCAAGATCGATGCTATGTCGAAACCAATGAGAATCTCCTTTCTCAATCAGTGCCCTATTTCAATTCTCGCGACAAACCGCCTTTTCCCAGCCAGCGGACAAAGCGGAACAATGGTGGATAAAACAGTCCAAGCACGTAACAGAATTTTTTCCGGCTGTCTCTCGGCAGACGCTGCCACTCTATCGGGGCCGGACAGCTTTACGAGGATTTTTTCCTCGTGCCGGAGCGTCCCGGCGACAAGCGAATCTGTAAGCTACGGGGTCAGCCTGGCCGATATAAACCTCGCTTTAGCGAACATGTTCGACGGCTGTCGTTAACGACAGCGCTGAGAAAGGCAACGATGTTTGCCCGTGTTGCCGCGAACCGAGAAAACTGCTCTCCTTCGCCGAGTTTTTCTCGTTTTGCCGCGAGAGCTTTCTTGATGAGGAAAAACAAGCTCGCCTACGAAGTAGCGCGACGTGTTTCTGGCACCGTAACAGCCGCGCGCGGGAAAGGAAATTATTTATGCCGCCGTTAAGCGTAATTCGTTCTCGCGACGCACACTCGCAGCGGCCGAGCGAAAACCACGCTGACTTTTATTCCGCCGACCAATTCCAGGGCCCTCTTTGATGTTACTGCCGCGCGAGACTTGAGCCAGCAGATTTTAAATGCAGTCACACCACTTTCTTATTAATTTTAATGAATTTTTCGGCGACCACTTATTTTCGCAGGTGTTTTCAGTTAAACGGGAGATTTCTGGGAGTGTACGGGACTGTGCCAAGTGTATCTGAGATCGGGCGATTAATATCCGTTGCTAATTAGTGTCGAGATACGTTCGTGCTCTTAACACATTGACAGCCGGCGACCTAAGAGACATTTAAACCCCGAACGCCGGTCTTATTCGCTTGTTTCTGATCACTGAATAGCCAAACAAAATATTTAAAACATTATATATTTTCGTAAAATAGTACACTTTATTTGCATATTCTTCATATACAAATTAACGGTAATTAAAAATTTAAACAAAATCGAAATTTTTAATTTATAATTATAAAAAAAATACAGTTTCCCATTTCATGGTGGATTATTACATATACATAACGTAAACCGAAAAGAAAATTTTAATATTTAAGGCAAGGCTCATATTATATGGGTAAAAAGTTACAGAAGGAAAAAACTTGTTATACTGTTCAATCAAAAACATAAGCGTACGAAAGATATACTGTTTGCGGAATACACTACTCGAGAGTGATTCTTGCCTGGACTGTTTCTGAACAATCGTATACGTTTTATCTTTAGAGTATGACAAATGAAGATCGGCGTAACCATGGCAAGTAAATACAAATCGATGTGTAAGACACAAATTATTAAACCCCAAATATTTTAATTATAAATTGATTATTAGTTTTTAATTTAAGTCTTTAAATATACTAATAAAAAAATTATCTATTAACTAAACTTAATAATAATTTAATATTTAAAATATATTTAAATTAAATCTAAATTAATTTTAAAATATAAATAATTAAAATAAAGTTTTAATATTATTATTATTATTCAAATATTAATTTATTAAAAATACTAAAATATTAAATATAAACCTAACTCAAACCACAAAGTACCATAATATTTAAATAAATTTGTAATCGTTAAAATTATTAAAAATAAATTAAAATTAGATTAATAATAATTAATCTAAATTTAAAACTTTTATATTATAATTAAATTAAAAATTAAAATCCAAATACTTTAATATTAAATTTAAAAAAAATCCACATCATCGTGGGGCAGCTACTCAAGCGACAGACTCAGAAATCCGCGTTTTCGCGGGGCCGGCTGTCAATGTGTTAAGACAGCGTTTCTTTTATACAGCGATGTGTTAACATTTGTAATTGTTTGTCTGATTCGATGTTGTTTTGTACAGGCAATGTTTGCAGCTTCCAAGTTCTTGTGAAATTCGGATATTATTTCTTCAACGTAATTTTAACATTTAATTCATCGGGTTTTGTTTCTTTCTGTTAAAAATTGCGACAACATTTTTGATGTTCAATTTTCATGGAACAATACCTGGGAACTTTTTGTTCTTTCAAAAATTAGGACAGCGATTTCTGACTGCAACTTTCGTGGAACTGTTTCTTGAAAGTTTTCGTGCATTTCTAAATTGCGATAACATTTTCGAAATACAAATTGTTGCGGGTCAGTTTCCTAGAAATTTCTGTTCTTCATTTAAGTTGAGGCAGTATTTTAGAGTTGTTATTTTCGTTGAACGATATCTTGGAAGTTTTCCGTACGTTTCAAAATTAGAACGGTATTTTTGAATCGCAATTCTCGCGGAACGATATCTTTGAAGTACTCGTTCTTTTGAAAATTACAACGGTACGGTCTAAATGCAATTTTCGTACACCGGTTCGTTCTTCAATGTTATAATAACTTCGATAATTCGAACTTCACGAAGTTCTTCAATAGTCAGGAAGCAATATTTCATAATTCTTTAATAATTGAATATTTACATTTTGATGAAATTTATAAAGAAAATTTGCATTAGATACCTTATTATAAAATTAATATATAAATTAATAATTCGATGTAAATCAATTAAATTAAATCATTTAGCTACTTAATATTCTTATTAGTTATCTCTAAATAATTGATAATCCGCAATAACATCGACTTAAATTAAATTTATGTATCGTCGATTATAATATTTGTAAATATCTGTAAATATCTAATTTGCATTAGATACCTTATTATAAAATTAATATATATATAAATTAATAATTCAATGTAAATCAATTAAATTAAATCATTTAGCTACTTAATATTCTTATTAGTTATCTCTAAATAATTGATAATCCGCAATAACATCGACTTGAATTTTTATAAATATTATAAACGACGATACAAAATTAATTTTGTTTAAATTACAAATAATAGTAATTCGTATCAAAATGTAGTTCATTTATGAATTTTACGGATTAATTGAAATTTCTGATTACTGCATATTATTTTTCACAATTAAAGGTCGTCGTTGAAAATCGTAATAAATCGTTGCACAATCTGTGCTTCCGTGATCCCGACATTTTTGCATCGCCGCAGAATAACAAATTATGGTCTGTTTCAGTGGAGGTGATGTTCCTAATTTGGGGCATCAGGCTGTGCATCGTGGTGCGCAAGACACCGTCGGAGTTCAACGAGAGCCGGTTCATCTCGATGGCGATCTACAACGAATTTCTACTCTCAGTCTTCCTCAACGTCTCGATGTAAGTTAGCTAGCTGATTACCAGGTCTGCATGCAGCGTATCAGTACCGCGGCGAAACCTTTGCGCTCGTGTAACCGGTGTCGCTAGAAGCCACTTTATGCGAGAGAAGAAGTCGCGAAATATTCAGATCGTACTTTGAAGCGACTGCGATACACGATTCCGCAATTCTTTCTCTCGTGCCGGTAATAAGAGCCGCGGCCGGGGAAAGTAGGAGATGTGCTACGGAATTTCAAAGCGTCCCCATGAAATTGCAGGCATTGACGTACCGTGCTCCTCCCAAATGAAACTTTAAATTCCACGACTTTTGGCTGCTGCTGGCGCAGCTATATTACTTGTCCGAGTGCAGGCTGCCTTGCACTACTTGCCTGACGGAAGACTGACTCGTATCACTCGTATAGTCGTTTCTTTTGGCCGTAGTACCTTTTTATGGCCTGACTACGTGTCTGTTGTATCATTATACTTGCAAAAGCATTTTCCTAGTCATGTGCTGGTTAACACTATTTTTTGTTGTATTGCTAAGTATCTAATTTGTCTGACCACACACTGGTTTATGCTACTTTTATTGTCTAACTGAATGTCTAACAGAATATGTCTGACCACACGCTGACTAATACTACTTTTTGTTGTATAACTACATATCTAATATACTTTGTCTGACTACATACTGCACAATACTACTTGTATTGTGCAGTATGGTAGTCAGACATATATTATATTATATATTATATTATATTATTATATTATTATTATATTATTATATTATATTATTATTATATTATTATATTATTATATTATATTATTATTATATTATTATATTATAATATTATATTATTATTATATTATTATATTATTATATTATATTATTATTATATTATTATATTATACTATATTATATATTATATTATTTCTTGTCTGACCCAGGAAAGACGAATACTACTTTACTGACTGCGACCTGAATCGTACTAGTGGTATGATCATAGCTTAGATCAAACTACTCTTGTATTGTCTGACCACATGTCTATTGTACCACTGTATATTTAATACCTTACATCTGACCACACTCTGGCCAATACTACTTGCACATTGTCGAACTCTATGTTGATTCATACCATCTGTCTGGCAGTAGAATTCTTCTCATTTCTTGTCCCTTGCCCAAGCATGCATCGACCACTACCACTTGTCTGATAGCAGGTTAACACATACTACTTGTTCAACGACAGGCTGACCCATACTACTTGTCTGTGATCAGATCACACGTGGTACTCACTACTCGTCTGACAATTGAATGATTCTTACCACTTAATCATCAATCATCTTTTCCTCTATACTCTGTTGTCTGATGAAACAATGGTTCATACTACTTTCTTTACGTCTGATCACACGTTATTGTGTCATACTACTTTTCTAACCACACACTGGCTCGTTCTACTTCATCTACATTGGTCCTCCCTTCGCGACTGACCACAGACTGACCGTAGCGATTTGTCTGATTATACAGCAACCTACACTACTTGACAGCTCTCTGAGACGAACGCTGACGAATTCTTCACACAAATTACGATAAAATGTCATCCAAAAATCGTAGATCAACTTTTAACATACCGTCGTAAAGCTGATACTTCAATCTATGCGTCTATCATGGTTTCACGCAGCAAAACATTTTTTTGGATCTCCTTAGCGACATTTTAACTTGGCAAATTTTCGAAAGTATCTTCTTCGACTTTCTGACGTATTGTTCGGTGCAAACATGTCCTAAAAAGTATAACTAATCTAAATTACAGCGGAGGTCTCACTCGGTTAAATGAAACCGAGATACAAAATTATCAAATTTTCATTTTGCAAAATCACGGCAACGTAAACATTCCTATTTTACTGCAATCCAGAATACGTCGAATTTTAGAGTTTTCTAATATTTCTCGAGGTCGGAGAAAATCAGTCAGAGTTTCATGGTCCGTCGGAAACAAGCGATTCAACCGATTCGAATTCTCGGGTCGTTCAAGTTTAATTGTTGGTAGCCGCATGCAGCCTTCGCCGTGACGAAGATCATTTCGGCGGATCCGGTGTAATTTCGAACAGCAGTTTGAGGCGACAAGCGCGGTGGCCGCCTGTGATGTCATTTATTCAGGAATATGTGCACTTGTGCGGAGACATAATAGCTTCCGGTGTTCTGCTCCAGTTCGCGGGGAATGTGGCCGAGTATCAGCGGGATACATTATTAAAATTAACGATTCGTAGTTTCCAGCCAACGTTACACGTTCCGCGGATGCGTCGGTCGCGTCGGCATCGACGTACGCCGAGAGAAACAGGCCATGCTAGATCGTTGACTACCTTTGTTTCTGTCGGTCACGTGGCTTCCCCATGTCCGCGACAAATCACGCAAAAATCACAGAAAAAGCTCGAATCAATTTCTCATTTTTAAGGGAGAAATGTGAGCTCGTATACGTCATCAGAATATTCGGAATTGATGTGTGCACGGATCACTATAGATACAGGTCAAAATGAACGTCTGCCAAAATAGACTCAGCTCAAACATTTACAATTACAGTTATACTTCAACGAACCAATTAAGTATGCACAACGATTTGTAACAGAACATTAATCTAAATGTATTCAAACGCGTTCAAACATACTCAAACTCACGTAATCACAGTGAAATATCTTAAAATTCATAGATTCAAAATCTATACATTAAAGTGAATAATGATGAAAATATAATTAGGTAATGTAAAATAGATACAATAAAGTATAAAAGAAAATTATAAAAAATGTAATTACAAAATATTAACAAAAGATGGTAAATATCAAGTACATAGACTGCTGTGAATCGTTATAAAATCTTGAAACTTGATTACATGAAGCGAAGCGTGTCCACACATATTCAAACTCGCGTAATCATTGTCAAACTACGTTAAATATAAGATTAAATGATATAAAATAAAAATAATAAAATATAGAGTAACAGAGACAGTGCAGAAAAATTATTTTAACGTTTACAAACACTGTCGAACATGGGCAAACACTCGCAATCTTGGTCAAACATTTTAATTTGGAGTATTATACTGTCACTTTCCGGTTCATTTGAATATTTCCCATGGCTAAAAGTAACTGGATCCATCGAGATCCAGTAGGTTCGTCGGTCCAAGAATGAGGTTTCTAAAAAACCGACGTTGGCGGCAGACCTAATCATGCGCATAATCACCCGTGAAAGTTGAGAGGGGCTGTTGGGGCGAGCAACCAGTAAACCAGGGCTGAAAGCTAAGAAGCAAGTTGGTCCGAAATACAGAGTCTCTTGTGAAAGAAAAAGTTCCGCGTGGAACTTCGGGTCTTCTCGGAAACTCTCGTGGCGGCTGGAACTTCCGCAGCAACCGCTGTAAGACGATCGGTGCACTACAGTCAAGAGATTCGTGCCGCAACGGGCAGTTCGGCTTACGGCGCGACCAGCACGAATATATTGGGCAATACGTTCGCCTAAACCATTCGATATCTCCGTTATTATGGGATTCTCGTCGGGACGTCCCAAGAGAAAAACGTTCCTTTCGAACCACTAAACACCGCCGTATAGAAAATTTCCAGCGAACTATTCGGGTTTTAGTTAACAACAATTTATCATATCAAACGTGTTTATTATCTGCACGTTATGCTGTGCATTATGACTTTAAATGAAATAAATTAACTTAAACAACAGAATTAAGATGAACATGTTGCAAAAATTTCGAAATGTTTAAAACAGTAGATTGCATTTACAATTTTTTTAATGGAAGGTGTGAGGATAATGGTTTATTCGGGACAAAAATTTCATGCAATTGGACAGTCATGCAATTTTGTGTTTCCTGAATTTTATTATATGAGCGGGAGAATTTATTTTGTACCTCGAGAATTTTGTTATGGGAAAATTTTCAACTATTAATTTGTATTTGTTGAATATTTTATAGGACTTAAAGAAATTATTTTAAACTTAATGGTCATATTAGATGGTTTAAAAAATGTTTCCCAAAAATTAACATTTCCAAACCGATCAATTTGAGCTGTGTACATTAAAATAAAGTATTATAAATATAAAATTCAATAATATAGAATGCAAATAATATAAACAGTGTAGAGGATACTGTGGGAAAATTGCTTAGGCAAATCTAAACGCTATCAAACATCTTCAAACATGCAAATTTAGTTGTGAAAACTAAAGTAAAATGTTATAAATACAAAATTCAATAAAAAATAAAAATAACGTACACGTTATAAACGATAATACTGTAGAAAAATTATTAAGGCATATTTAAACGCTATCAAACGTCTTCAAACATTAAAATTTAATTGTGTAAACTAAAGTAAAATGTTGTAAATACAAAATTCAATAAAAAATAAAAATAGCGTACACAGTATAGAGGATAATACCGTAGAAAAATTATTAAGACATACCTAAATGCTATCAAACATTTTCAAACACATAGATTCAGCTTTGTATACTAAAATTAAATATTCTAAATATAACATTCAGTAATGTACAACATAGAAATAACATAAAAATAACACGCAAGCTTATCAAAATGCTTTAAAACACGCTTAAACCGATACGATCACAATCAAACATCGTCAAGCATACTTAAATCCCAAAAATAGTGTTGCAAACTGTACGAGAAAATTATTCTACACGCATACAAATACTATAAATCGCACTTCAACAACCACAAACACCGTCAAACATTTCCTAGATCGTTGAAAAATTGATGCCGAATTTCTCGAGGGAGCTTCGGGCTTGGTGGTTATGTCAATAAACTTTATGTCGCATAAAATTGATTCGTTTCCCCGTCAGCGAGTGATAACAACTTCTCTAGCGGGTGGAAATGGCTACTTGGGGATATAGTCGAACGTTGTCGACAGGAATTCCGGTTTTTGGGTCTCGGGAGATCGAAAAACGGTTCTGACCGGGTGCAATCTTTCTCGTTGCAGGTTGTTCTTGCAATCGCCGGCCAATCCGGATTTATTGTACGTGATATTTTTCTGTCACACCCAGCTTACTGTCACGCTGCTACTGTGCCTCATATTCGGCAGCAAGGTAAGACTGACATCGATCCCCAGCGTTTCCATTTCGCCCGATCCATGCTGCTTGGACATTTACGCTGCAAAATGATACAACTTTCGATAGATCCGAGGTGGAACGATGGAATCTTTTTTGAAATACAGATAAAACACTGCACGATCTATTTGCAAATAAACAGCAGAAACAATGAGACAATCTTTCGCCATATTATACAATATAATTATATATAGTTCCATAATATATCATAATATATTATAATATATTGTGTATAGCTATATACAGGGTGTTCCAGATTTTAATGTTCAAACTTTGTCAGTATATTCCATGGCACAAAGAAAGATAAAAATGTTATCTAAACATACGTCATATAGAGCTTTATTAAGAAGTTATAACAAAAATTCAGAATAGGAATAGTAATCAACTTGCTGTTACTGCGAGCATTGGCTTGAATAGATCAGCACATGCCGTGTGTTTATGTAAGCTGTGTTTATTAACACATTTCGAAAACCCTACCGTTGTTGACAATACATGATTGACATCAGTCGAAGATTTTTTTTTATTTTTTTTATTTTTTTTTTTAGTTGATTACTATTCCTATTCTGAATTTTTGATATAACTTCGTAATGAAGCTCTATATGACCTATATTTACATAACATTTTTTCTTACTTTGTACATTAAAACCTGGGACACCCTGTATAACATTATATAATATTATGTAATATATAGTAGTGTATACTATATTATATAATATTACATTCTAATATTATAATATAATACATGATATATTATATAGTTATTAATCAAAATGAAACTTTGTAAAAAGTGTCTCGTTGCATTTTCTCCTTAAACCAACATTAATCATTTATTGCTTAAAAAATACTTACTTATTGCTTAAAATACGAGGCATAAATATTTATTTAAAAATAATATAAAATTGTCTATATAATTGTCTCACAAAACAGTCAGCTTCAATAAATCCTTCCTTAAAGTAAAAATTAATCCGTTGTCCCCTCTGCTTATTTTTCTTTTGTTTCGCGAGGATTCTGGTTGAGCAGAAAAAATGTTTCGTCGCTTTATCTCGATTCCAGCGGAAGTTCAGCGTATTCGTTTGAAAAATGCCGGGTAAAATTATGAATTCCGCGCGAAAGTTTTGCGGACAGTGTCCTCCTGCGCGTCGGATTTATTTATTTATTTCCTGGCGACCCGGTGGGATTTATTTATTTATCTCCCGGGGGAACGTATCGATCTTTGGGAAATACCGGCCACGGGACCGTGAAAGTTGTAAACTAGTTGCGTGCGTACGCGAGATAATATATTTCGGTCGGCGGGCCGCGCGAAAAACCGGGCTCTTTAAACCACATATTTCATCCGGAAGTAGCGGGCAGCGACGATCCAGGCAGAAATATTGACTGGGAGACCTCGATGATATAGCTCGGGACTACAGGCTGCTGCAGAACCCTCGTTCGAACGTTTATTGAATTTTATTGCCCCCGGAAATAGAAGAATCGTTGCAGCTGCTCTCCCTCTTCAATTTCACTTTCGAATTTGTCAACAGCTGCATAGATTCTCGACTCGGCCAGTGTACGCTAGGCTAGACCTAATCGATCATGATAAAAATCAGTTTAATTCAATTTGATGAGTATTTTGTAAAATAGACGATAATATTCATTTTATTGTCCTTTTAGAAGAAGTAATTATTTTATGTTGGCATTGTTATTGTGGTCTTCTGGGTTGGTTAAAAATTTGTTCACCTGTGCATTATTATTTAAAATGATCGCATCAATCTGTTGAATATTTTGTGAAACAGGAAATAATTGCATATTGTCATTTTAAAACAAGTAATTTTTCTATATTGTCCAAGTTGTTGTGGTCTTCTAGGTTGGTTAAAAATTTGTTCACCTGTGCATTATTATTTAAAATGATCGCATCAATTTGTTGAATATTTTGTGAAACAGGAAATAACTGTATATTGTTGTCATTTTAAAACAAGTAATTTTTTTATATTGTCATTGTTGTTGTGGTCTTCTAGGTTGGTTAAAAATTTGTAGACCTGTGCATTATTGTTTAAAATGTTCGCATCAATTTGTTGAACATTTTGTAAAAGTGGAAATAATAGAATTTTATTGTTATTTAAAAACATTGATTGATATGTACTGCTTAATTTTTAATATTGTTAAGGTTTTCACGCTTTTCGGGTTCGATACAAATTTGTACTCTCAACTAGACCTTATTGATCGTTAGAAAAAAAACATACTACTTAATTTGATAACTTTTTTACAATAATAGAAAATAATTAAATTGTACTGTCATTTTAAAATAAATGGGTGGTATTTGTTTTCTTTGTTTTTAATACGGTCGTTATTATTGCAATTTTGTCATTAAACAAAATTTGTTTAAATAAGCCATAATTTGTACGTTATATGTTGAATTCAATTTAACAAGTAAGTTTTGCAATCAGGAACAATTGAATTTAATTGAATATTCTTGTCACTTGAAACTAACAATAACACTTGTTATTTTGTAATGTGTCTAGATTTGTACGAATTTGCTATTTAACAAAATTCTTTACAACAATCTACTTATCGTGGATTATAAGTAGAAAGATTGAACTCAATTCGACGATTGAAATAAAATATAATTTAATATTGTTGTCATTCGAACGGAAGGTGGTGGTGCCTGTTTTTTTGTAATTGTTAATAAAGCAATTCTTCAAATAGACAAAATTTATATTAGCAAGCAAAACAGTTCAATTTAATTCGACGAAAAGATTTCAAAATAAGAAATAATTCCATGTTGTATAATAATTTGTAATTATTTATTAATATATTGAATTAATTTTAATAATAATAATAATTCCTTGCTTGAAAGTAAGGGTGTGGTGCCCGCTTCTTTATATTTTTAATACTGCCACTGTTAACGCGATTTTTCGAATGAACAAAATTTAATATAAAAACTCCAGCCTCGTTTATTAGGCATAACAGAAAAATTCCAACGCAATTTTACAAATAGCTTTATAAATAAAACATAAGTGAATGTTATTATCAGATGAAAATATATTTTATATTTATATTTTTAGTACTGCCACTGAGTGCAATTCTTCGAGCGGTCATAATTTATTACAATATGCTGAACGTTGTATACTATAACAAAAAAGAAATTAATTGAACTTAGCAAACATATTTCAGAATAATAAATAATTAAATATTGTTGTCAGATGAAAGTAAGGGATGACATTCGTTTCGTTGTATTTTCAATGCTGTCGTTATCGCTACAATTTTTCAAACGAACAAAATTTATTACACTAAGTCCAAGCCTCATAGGCTAAAAAAAGAAAGTTCCAACGCGATTCCACCGAGCCGATAATAAAAGACCATTAAGCAACAGTGGATGCATTAACAGAGCAATAAATCGGGTGAACTGAGAATGAACTGCGAGACGAACATGAATTACACATTGGATCGATTGGCTCACCTGTTTCGAACGCGACGATGAAAATCACTCGCACGCATCTCACACTTCAGCCTATTTCGACTCGACCCCCGTTTCACTCTGCCACCCCCGCAATAGGGTGCACACACGATAAAAATGCCAGAACTTCGGCATTCTCGCGCCGCCCGAAAGACCGTGTCGCATAAATTGAAAAGTTTGCCTGTTTAATATAGGCCTACGTGGTGTTCCGCAGCGGGGGCAAGGAGGACGCAAAACACTCGGGGGCGACCGGTAAATTTCTGGGAAAGAGCACCCGGCCACCGGGCACCAGCAACCAGACGAACTCGATCTCCCTTCAGCAAGGAAACTTCACCGACGAGAGCGACGGAGCCACGGTGAGTGCACTCGAAATCGGAGAACGAAAAGATTCCGAAAGTAACAGTTTCAAACTCTGTGTGTGTTATCTGCAGGGTTAAATTTCCCATAATTTGAGTTCGCGAAACATCTCGTGGACGATATTACGACGCGATATTAAAAAGAAAAACTAATACATATTTTTCAGCATTTTTAGTGAAGATTCAAACGGTGCTAATAATTTTTTGACGCGTGGGAATTTTTAAGGTTATTTCAAGGTCATCTTGCTTTTTCTATCATAAACCTATATGTTTTATTTCAGAATCGTATTCTACATAAAAAGGTGCATAACTTTTGTTTGAAACATTTTTTTTTGTGGGTCCAATATTTTTTAAGATATACAGGGTGTACCGCTAAAAGTGTTACGAAGCGATATCTCGGTTATCGGTAATAATGGCTAAGGAATGCTAAGGGAACAAATTGTATGGTTATGTGACATAATCTTGTGGCGAAAATAATGGTTTTTTAATGATCGTATTTTTTAACAGTTCAAGATCATCGGTGTATTTTTAAACGGGTTTATATATTCACGTCGCTAAATCGTGATAGCTGAGATCAACGCGGATCCGATGACCTTTAATACCATGACCTTCGTGTCAATGAATACGAAAAATTCTAAAACATTTAAAAATGGAGACTTATACTGAAATAACTATCACAGATAAATCGACAAATTTTAAATGTCTTAGAATATAGATTTAAATTTGTCGTTGTTCACACCTTTTCCATCCCTTTGCACCCTTTTTCCACCCTTTTTCCACCCTTTCTCGTCCCCGTGCCCGTTTGCATCCTTTCCGTAACGCGGTGACCTTTTTTAGACTCCCATCGTGCCAGCCACTTCCCGCGCAAAATATGTCACTAATGATATTTTCGCGTGCGTTTCATCAACTAGCGAGACCGGCTATGCTTCCCTTCGATCGCCAGCTGCAATTTCGTTCGTTCCAAATACCGGACATTTCTCCTGATCATTATTAAGTGATTAGGATAACTAGTCCTGCGCCCACAAACTGCTGTTCTTGATAAGCTATTCGGGTTTATTTTTGCATCGAAAATTATACAGGTGCGTCGGAAAGTGCTGAGTAATTATTGTTATTAAATAATATTTAGATTTGCTGTGGAAATTAGGGTCGAATTGCGGAGCTTATATGTCTATTCAAACATCCGCAAACACGTCCAAACCGCTGGAATATTAGTGAGAATGAACTACTAAAGGAGGGTGGGTTTACGTTTGTTTATAAGCGTTTTTCACTGTTGCCGAATATATTGAGGAGATTTTATTTTCGTATATTGAAACGTATTCAAACATGTTCAAACTGCATGAATATTAATCATAATGAACTATTACGATTGTTTTAAAGATAACTGCATTCGCGTAAGTTTACATATATTTTTAATTCTTCCAAAAGTATTGAAGCAATTTTATTTGTGTATTGAAACAATTTCAAACATGTTCAAACTGCAGGTATTTAAATAATAATGGCCCATCGCAGTGGAAGATTTAAAAGGTGGCTATATTGGTAGAGATATGTAAAAATTTTCTACTGTCTAGTAAATATTATATAAAAATTAATCTATACGTATTCAATCATGTTCACACTACTAGAACATAAATAAAAATGATCTATTTAAATTGGCAATTTTAAAAAGGGTTTGTCTTCTAAGTTTTATATACATAGTCAATCCATTTATTCTACATTCTAGATGTACGTGCAAACGCTATCAAATTTACTCAAACTCCTACAATCTTACCCGAACATCAATAAAAAAGAAAAATTCATAAAATATGTATACTAATCTGAGATATCTTAAATATTGTATAAATAAATATTGAAGACAACAATTAATGTCTTTCAATCATTTTCCATTCGGTTACATTCTAAATGAATGAAATTTTGAGTACAATTTACGATAAACTATCTCAATAGACAATCATTAAAAAATCTCTCTTAAAAAGTTGCAATCATTTTTTACCTTGCAGAAAATATTTCAGTGAAATTATTCCAGCTGTATTCAAACTCTTGTAAATGTATTCAAACGACTGTAAACACACTCAAACTACAGGAGAAACAATTAAACTGATCTACTTCGACTGAGAACTTCAACAACGGTTGACATGTAATATTATGTGAGTTTGTCACAAGCGCAGAAAGCGCTTTAATCGGCCTCCAGTTCAAAGGGTTTCAAACGTATCGAAGGTAAGGTGCAGGTTCCGCGATAAGAGTGCAATAGGTCACTGAAAATCAATGGTGTCTAATCTGGCACACGACACCCCATATGTCCGTGCCCCCCTTCTCGCTACCATACAATCGTACACCGATTAATAGATATCGGGACCGCGCCGAGGCTATTGTACGAAAAGCCGATTAATAGGCTTCACACGGGCCGCTGCGTTAATTACGATATCGACATTAGAGAAGCCGATCTACCATTGCTCGGACGAAATCAAGGCTAACGTTCAGGCACCGCGTACAGCATTACGGACACCTAATCGGGACGTATTGTTGGAAATCTCGGCTCTCCCACGTGTTCCGTTCTTAAATAAAATGTTACACAGCGACGAGATTATTTCTGGTAAACGTTCTACGATTTAACGAAAATGGTAATTCAATTATCAAAGTACAATGTAAAACACAAAATACCAACATAATACTGATGCAATCAAATATTATTGAAATATAAAATAACAGTTAAGATACTAAGTATAAATATAGTATAAAGTATACTATATACTAAGTATATAGTATATTTAGTAACATAAGTTACTAAAATATGCAGTAACAATTAGAATACTATTAAAGTATAAAATATAAATAAAATAATGTTCAAATATAAAATACTAATAAAATGTCAGATATCAATTAAAATGTTATTANATAAAGTATACTATATACTAAGTATATAGTATATTTAGTAACATAAGTTACTAAAATATGCAGTAACAATTAGAATACTATTAAAGTATAAAATATAAATAAAATAATGTTCAAATATAAAATACTAATAAAATGTCAGATATCAATTAAAATGTTATTATA